TTCTGTGCTGCTGCAGTCCCTGTGGTGTTGTTGTTGTTTGTTTACTGTAGCTGTTGTTTGTTTGTTTGTTGTTGTTGCTGCTGCTGTTTGTTTTTGCTGCTGCTGCTGCTGCTGCTGCTGTTTGCTGCTGCAGCAATAGAAACATGTTTTCTGCTGCTGCAACTGCTGCAGCTGCTGCAGCTCTCTCTGCTGCAACAGCTGCATCTGCTGCTACTGCTGCTGCCCCTCCTCCTCCTCATCACCATCATCATCATCTGCTGCTGCTGCTGCTGCTGCTGCTGCTGCTGCTGCTGTGTGTGCTGCAGCGGCCCCGCCTCCATCCCCCCGCAGACAGTGGTAGAGTTTTTTGCGGATTGCGTTCGTCGCTTTGGCCCTGAGCCTGCGCTGCTGTTCGAGCCCCACTTCCCCAAAAGCAGCAGCAGCAGCAGCAGCAGCAGCAGCAGCAGCAGCAGCAGCAGCAGTAAAGAAGAAGAAGATGATGGTGGTTGTCAGTGTGTGTCTTACGTGTGTGAGAATACCCCGAGTGCCTCTGCATCCTCATCTTTCTCTTTCCCCCCATCAACAGCAGCATCATCACCAGCAGCAGCAGCAGCAGCAGCAGCAGCAGCAGCAGCAGCAGCAGGAGCAGGAGGAGGGGGCCCCCCTTCTTATGTAGCTAACCTAAAACCCGGATGGTATGGATATACTTGGTTAGGGTACTGGCGAGAGTGCTGCTGCTTCGCTCGCTCGCTGCTGTCTTTGTCTGCGCCCCCTTTCTGTCGCGTCGCCATCATGGGCTGCAACGCACCAGCATGGGCTGTTTCTTTTTTTGGTTCTATTTTTGCTGCTGGTGTTGCTGTTGGTGTTTATACAACAAATAATATAGATGCATGCAGATACGTGCTGCAGCATTCGCAGTGTTTTCTTGCTGTTGTAGATACACTCGAAAACGCGCGCAAAATGCTAGCTGTAAGACAACACCAACTGCAGCAGCAGCAGCAGCAGCAGCAGCAGCAGCAGCAGCAGCAGCAGGAGCTGCTGCCTGGGGGCAGCCATGTGCTGCAGCAGATTGTGGTGTATAGGGACCGTGTGCCTGTTGATTGGGACGAAGACAAAGACAAGGTAGTTGTGGGGTTCGATGAGTTTTTATGTTTAGGTAAAGATATAAAAGACAAAGAACTAGCAGCACGAATGCAGCAGCAGAAGCCTGGTTGCTGCTGCTGCATTGTATACACTAGCGGAACCACTGGCGTCCCCAAAGGCGTTCTTCTCTCTCATGATAATATAACATGGAGTGCTTCTTTATTGACTCAGATTGTCTCCTTAAATAAAGAAGACAGGATTGTCTCCTTTCTCCCTCTCTCCCACATAGCAGCACAAATTGTAGACCTGGTGACCCCGTTGCTGATGGGTTCTGCTGTTTATTTTTCTCGCCCTGATGCACTAAGAGGTTCTTTATTATATACTTTATTGAGGGTGAGGCCTACTTGGTTTTTGGGCGTTCCGCGTGTATATGAGAAGATAGAACAAAAACTAAAACAAATAGCAGCAAAAGGGGGGAAACTGCAGCAACATGTTGCTGCAGCAGCAAAAAATATTGTATATAATGGTGCTGTCTCCTTATTAGAGGGAAGAAAACCACCGCTTCTTTTCTCTCCCATCAACAGTCTCCTTCTGTATCAAATACGCAAAGCTATAGGGTTAAATAAATGTAAAGCAATAGGTAGCTGTGCTGCACCCATAAACAAAGACACACAAAATTACTTTCTC